ATTTACAGACCATAACAACAATTTTTGGTATCAGTTGTTACTAAGATGCAATTGTATTTATTTTCATAGAAAAAAGAAATGGAGGCTTGTATCAGTGGTGGGACTATTATTACTTTTATTTTTATTTTGGGCTGTTTCTCCTCCCACTTAAGCACTGTGCCTGTGCTCATGTCAGGTTGCAAAAAGTCGCTATTTACAGATGTTCCACCATGGGCCTGCAAAGCCTGCAAGTGCAGTGCTGACTCCTTCATCCTGTTGGGATCCCAAAGATTTTATCTGTTCCTGAGCAAAAGACTTGGAAAGAAGTCTTTCAGATGCTAGCTCTATCTCTAGGATGCTGTTCAGTGTTTACAAATGATTTAGAAAATGAGGCATACAATGAGATGGAGAAGCTTGTTGACAGTTACTTTCAGATCACAGAAGTGAATGCCAACTGCAGAGAGCTGTAGACAGACCTTGCAACATTGAGAGACTGAGTGGAAAAACTTGTAGGCAAAATTAAATGTCAATAAGGTAATGCAAATGGGGGTGATGCGAGTGAGTCTTAGGTGTATGGTATTGGTCTCTGAACTAGCGTTTTTCACAGAAGAAAGATATCATGAAGTAATCACAGATGGCCTCATGAAAACTTTCAGCACACAGGTCACTAGCATGCAAGAAAGAAAACTGAATGTTAGGAATTATTAGCAAAAGTGCAAAGAAAGAAAATAAAAACCTTCTTGTGCCACTCTAGATCTGTGGTTTCATCTTTAATACTGACTGAAGTTCTGGTCCTATTGCAGCAGAACTAGAAAAGGCATCTAGAACAGGAATTTGGAACCACATCCCTTTGGGAAACAGCTAAGCAGGCTATGATTTGAGTCTTCTTTTCCACACTGAAGAAGAATGCACTAGAGTTCTTTGAGATCTAAAATTGCATGAGACAGTAAGTAGAATGGACTCAAAATGAACTAAAGGAGTTTTTTTCATGCAATATATCAAAGCAGTTTGGAACTCACTGTTGCAGTTGTAAATAAAAGAAGATTTATGTATGTTAAATTCGATGAGACAAAGTAATTTAGCAAAGTTACCTTCCTATTTCTAGGAACGCCTATGCTGCAAATTCCTATAGGTTAGGAGAGTATTCAAGGCAGGACACTGCATACTTGCCCTGTTTTTATACTCTAAGCATCAGCTGTTTGGTCTCAGCTGGAGACAGGTTACTGAGCTTTGATTTGACAGTGTAAGCACGCTGGCTATTCTTGTATTTGTGGACAGATTTCTTCTTGTACTGCTGTAGAACAGCATCACAGCCACTGACTAGAGGTTGACATATAAGCCAAACCTCATTGATCTTTGTTTCCTGCTGTATTACTCTTGGAAACTGAGTGTAACTTCCCATCTCCTATGACTTGTTGGTGGGTCAGTCTCTCTGTTCGTCTGAGTGTCTTAGAATAGCATTAGAGCTAGCATATATTTTGCCAGGCTAAATCTAACGCTTCCAGATTCGCCACATTTCTAGTATCTGCTGGATTGTCCAAGGTGCTGTGTGCTTTCAATTCCCATTGCCTTACATGGAAACATAGTAGGACTAGGACCTGTCTGTTTTAATACCTTTAATACTTTTTCTGGCACCGTTTCTGTAGTAGGAATGTTGAGTTTGTTCTAACTGTGAAGTCATCAGGAATGATATAACTATGAAGTAACTGTGGATAAGGGGAGAGCAGTTGACATCCTGTACCTTGTCTTTAGGAAGTCTTTTGATACGGACACCCACAGCATCCTTGTATCCAAATTGGGATGTTATGATCTAGATGGGTAGACTACTAGATGGGTGAAAAAACTGATTAGACCATTAGACTCAGAGAGTAGTTGTTAATGGTTTGTACTCTACCTGGAGGCCAGTTACAGGTGTAGTTTGTTAGACATTTGCCTAATATCTTTATCAATGACCTGGAGTAGGAGACAGAATGCACCTTCCTCAAATTTGTGGACCACAGTGAACTAAGGGGTGTGCTCCAGGACAGGGCTGCCTTTCTGAGGACATCAGCTGGCCAGAGGGATGTGCTCATATGCATCTTATTAAATTCAACAAGCACAAGCACTAAATCCCACACCTGGGATGGACTAACACCCTGCTATGGTACAAGCTGGGGATTGGCTGGGTGAAGAGCAGCTCTACTGAAAAAGACCCAGGGGTCTTTTTAGACAACAGGCTAAGCATGAGTTAGCAGTGTGCCATCAATGAAGGCCAACAGATGGTTGGGCAGTATCAACGAAAACATGACCAGTAAGATTGAGGGAAGTGATTATTCTTTTTAACTGGGCATTCCTTAGACTTTATCTGGAATACCACATCTAGTTTTGGGGGCTGCAGTAAAAGAAAGGTGTTGATAAATGTGACTGAGCTCAGGGGATGGTCATCAAGATGCTTGGGCTGGACATGAATGAAGAGAGGCTGAGACAGCTGAGTTTGTTCAGCCTGAAGAAGAGAAAACTTACCGGGACATAATAGCAGCCTTCCAATATGCTTAAGAAGTTTCCAAGAGGATGAAGCTAAGTTCTTTAGTGAGATGCACAACGGATGAAGGGGAGACAGCAGTCATGAATTGCAATGGGATGTTCTGACAGCCTCATCCATTCCTTCAGTTCTGCTGGACCTAGTGTAATAAAATTGGTGAGTTTATGTATGAAGTTTCATGCTGCTTCATTGCCCCCATTTTACAGATAATAAAACCAAAGTACAGAAACTGTAGAGGCTCTTGTTTAGAGTCACTCAGACTACAGCCATATGCCTTTCTAGTATGAGCTTGAGCTCAGTTGTGTCTCGCATCCATACTACCTGATTGCTTGTTCATAGTCTCAGACAAAGAGCTGGAAGGTTGTTTTGTATTATGATACTATTGAAGCAGTGAAGCAGCTTGGGAAGCAGCCTCTTTCCTTAACTTGGCTACTACCATTGACTTAGAGTAAATCATTTACAAAATTAAGGAAAGGAGTGTGAACTCCTTGTGCTTTGTCATGTTTATTTGGTCAATCTATTTTTTTATTAGCCTTATCTGATTCTCATTTTAATTACAAACTCCTTCCTGAATATAATGCTGTCTCATGCTTGAGATGGATGGTATTATTTTTGTTTACTTTTGTCTGTGGTATTATTCTAGAAAGTGAAAGCAGTTTGAGTTGTTCCTTGGGGACCTCAGCTGCTGTTCCATGTGCAAGAGGCTCCAAATGTTTAAATGTCTTAGATGAGAAAATGTGTTGGTATGAATTGATTTGCAAAGGGACCTAGAATTTGAGGCTATTACTATTCTGGTATTGTACGTGCTTGACTCAGACACTGCATTAATAAAAAAAAAAAAAAAAAAAAAAAAAAAAAAAAGAAGAAAAAAGTGCTCATAAAAGTCTAGGAGTAACAGCCTTGGAGTCTGCTGTTTATGCCTTAACTTGTTTCAGAAAGACTGAAAGCCAGGATGAGATGCCTAGTTGAGACTCCCTAGCCATTCACTTTAGCACCTTTGTGGAAAAAGCTATCTAACACCTGCTTTGAAGGTTTGTGGATATAACTTGCAGTCCCCTGGGAACGGGACTGAGACTGTCAGCAAGTGATACATTACTGAGTAATGAATAAATTCATTTTGAGTGTTGGATATGAGTAACAGACATAGCAGCAGACTTGGACTTTGCACATTTTGCTTGGAGTGCCACTGGATAATGTGAGTGCAGCACTGCATTTTGTAAATTTGTAATTTAACTTGTGCAAGAAGGCAGAAAACCTACCTAACCCTAATATCATGTGGGGATTCCCTAGCAGTTCGGGGATGGAATAAATAGCCCAGAAATGCTGAGTTTAAAGCTATGGGTACATGATTATAGACCACAGGTAGAGTTCAAGTAATTTATTGCCTCTGTGCCTCAGTTAGAATCACTGAATAATGGAAGTTAGAACTTTTGGAGGTCAGCAGGTCCAACTCCCTGCTGAAAGCAGGGGCAACCGAAGGCTTGCCCAGGGCCTTGTCCAGTCAAGTTCTGAACGTCTCTAAGAAGGGAGATTTTACAGCCTCTGTGGGTACCTGTTCCAGTCCTTGACCGTGTCATCGTGTAGATTTTTTTCCTTATGTCTGATTGGCATTTCTCTTTCTGCAACTTATATACATTGCCTGTAGGTTTTTTCGCTATAAATTTCTGAGTGCAGTCCACCTCTGTTTTCTCTATAAGTACCTCTGTCTTCACTCATTAGATAATTGAAGACATCAACTAAATTGCACTTCTCTTCAGGCTGAAGAAACCATCTGACTCAACCTCTCATCATAATGTGTGCGCTCCAGTCCCCGAGCACCTTGGTTGTCCTCTGCTGGACTTGCTCCAAGTATGTCAGTCCAGTAAATCCTTCATGAACCGGGGAGCCCAAAACCAGATGCAGTACTCCAGATTCAGTCTCATGCCAAAATAGAGGGAAGTGATCACATCCCTCAGTCTGTTGGTTGTGCTCGTACTGATACCAGTATGCTGTTAGCTTTGATCACTGCCAGAGCACTCTGCTGATTCACGTTCAACTTGTCTCTGAGGACCAGTACTTCTTCTGCAAAGCTGCTTTCTAGCCAGCTGTTAATTAGGTTGGGTAACCATTGTTTGCCCTTCTTAGATCTCTGCTGACTCTTTTCAATCACCTTCTTTTCTTTGAAGTGCTGGAAATGGATTCCAAAAGGATTTGCTCCATATTTTCTTTGGGACTAAGGTTAGGCTGAACGTCCTGTAGATCCCCATATCTTACTCCTTGGCCTTCCTTAAGATAAGCATAACATTTGGCTTTTTTCCAGTCATCAAGAACCTCCTCTGGTTGCCCTGACCTTTAAGATGACTGACAGCAGCCTCACAATGATGTGAACCAGCAACTTTAGTGTTCTCAAATGCATCCATCCGGTCCCATGGGTTTTGTTGGGTTTTTTTCTGGGTTTTTTTTACCAGTTTACTGTAATAGTCCCTATTTGGATCTGCCCCTGTCTTATGCACTTCCTTAGGTTATGGCGCTAGACAGGGACCTGGGAATTTTGGGAGCAGACCTTGCAGTAAAAACCACAGCAAAGAATGTGTAGAGTTATCTTACTAGTAAAATGAGAATACTTGTGTTAGAAGGATATCGCAAAGGTCGAATGGCCAGTTTCTGTCCTTTATGCTCCTGCAGGTAGAAATGCTAAGATTATTGTTATTATTTATCTTAGTTTGTCTCATTCCTTCTTTCACTCCTACTCCCATTTGGCTTTCCTGAAGATTAACACATGAGGAGCAGCCCCAAATATATTACTGCTGCTTGTTCAGAAAGAAATTGAGAGACTGAGAGTGCTGAAGCCAGGGCAGCCTGCCTTAGGAAGCTTCATAGGCACAGGCTGTCAGACCAACCACGAATGGCAACAACAAAACAAATCCAGACTTTCCTTTTTAAAGGACATGCTCCTTCTGGCAACAGTATATCAGGAAAATGATTATATTTGTGAGAAACTAGATCCATCACTGAAGAGAAGAAAGCCTGGTGGATTACATGCCTAAGCACAAAATCTTGGACTATACACTTAGAGAGAACACATTTTGCAGTGAGATTCTTCAAAGCTGTCACATCTCTTCCACATCCCACACTCTTTTGGCAGGAGAAGAGCCTCTGCATCCTTGTGTTTCTGTCTCCTTACTGAACAGCTAATAAACTGTACTTTCCCGTGTCTTCAGCAAGATTATTGATTTGTGCAGTGATCGTTATTGCAGCTGTTGAATAGATCTTTGCTGAAGAGATTGAGGGGGGAAAAAAAAGGGGGACATTGTGGGGGTTGTTTTTCTCCTCTGCTGTTTCTAAATTTTTTTTACTTTGTCTCATTACTATTTATGGAATAAAAATAGCTGTTTGACTGTTTTTACATGTTTTCATGGTACTGTACTTCACAAAGGGAAGCCTGATTTATCCTTCCCTTGAAGATATTCTAGTCATAAGTCATAAGTGAAAGGTTGTCGTTAATGACTAATTTCACCCAAAAGGGTATGTATGATGCTTTCTGGAGCTTGCATGGAATTGGCCTTGCTCTGAAGTGCTTACACAGAATGTTTAGAACAACAGGAAGAAGCAGCTTATGATTTATGCTTGAGATGATAATACGATCGTGCTAAGAAGCATAAGGCATGTGCCTTCTGAGTTACAAAGCAAACAGGTGAGGGAATGCCCTTAATTCTAATCAGTAAATTTCCTGTTTCATAAGCTGTTTAAGAATGAAACCCACCCAGTCAGTCTGTGAACTGTTTACTGTGCTTTTGAGACCATAAATAATACTAGAAAGTGATATGATTGCCTTATGTTTGGAAACAGTATGCCTCAAAGTTTATATTGTCCTCTAATTAGAAGACTAGTAACGGACCACCATAGGAAGAACTTCCCTCCCCCCCCAATCTGTCAGTCAATCAGAGATAAGAAAACTGATGCAAGAGTCAATGAGCATCTGGAAAGCCTTCACAGTAATCCCACAGACTTGAAGGAAAAGGAGAAGGTAATGTGGTCTTCAAATAGAGTTCTGTAAAGAGTGAATTTGCAGAGGTTGTAACTGGAAATTTTTGTGAGTGCTGCAAGTGAAGTCAGATGTCCAGCTCGGCTGACTCCAGCTCATGTCAGGTGCAGGTACCAGAATCAGAAAAGACTTTTGTATTTTCTCAGGAAGAAAATTCTGTAGCTTGTGCTCCTCATCTAATCACATTCTGGGCTTAAAGAATGATAGATAGACTTCTTTACCTTGCTGAGATAGTAAAGATTCTGTGCATGTGAAGTAGAGAATGGAATCCAATTCTTGCAAGTCATATTGGGTAAAATATATATACTGTGGGACATAAGCAAAAACTGGTCTCTGAAGCTTGTGTTCCGAAAATTTGAGTGGTTTGACATTACTATGTTTGCCTTAGGACAGGAGCTATTGCTGTTCTGAAAAGAACTTAGACCTGTGTTCTGGCTTTTGCAATTAATAGTTTTGGCACCTTACAACAAACCTACCTTCGTCAGTGATTTAAGGTAGCGTGCCAGACTGAACTACGATGACTCTGATGTAGCGACACACCTCCTTCTGCTGACTGAGAGAAAAATAACCTCTGGGGGAGGAATGGGGAGAACAGCTGTAGGCGGTGAAGTTTTAAACCAGTGCTGCAGGCTCTGCTAGAATTCCCTTGTCAGTCCTGATTTAAATACGGACTCTGCCATGACTTGCAGTCTGTTGGGACACATCACACAGCCTTTCTGCCTTGGTTTCCCGAGGTGCAGTAGTGTTTGCCTAGTTTGTAGTGCTATTGTTAGGATTAATCTTCAATCTTCTGTCTATTTCAAAGTTGCTAATTAAAAGGTGATTCCTTGATGCTGGTTAAACAACTTTGAGAAACTCTAAGAAGCTTCTGAGAAGTTATATTAGTTAGCAAAGGGTAAGTCTTAACAGTGGTTTTACAGTGCTGGTTTCTTCCCGTTTGTGTAGATGACGTGCTATGTTAAATCTTCAGTGGCATGTTTACTCAGCACATGCTATAGAAGAGCTGAGTTTCGTTTGTCTTGGCACAGCGGGATTAGTAGCCCCACAAATGGGAGATAAGAATTACCATGGAAGCCAGCCTAAGCAAAAGAGGTCTCTGATGTGGCTGTAGTGGACATCAGACCCCTTGTTCTCTTTTAAAAACATCCTTATTAAATTACTTTCTTGGTACATAGCAAGTGTTTAACAGAGAACATGTGGGTGAAGATTTGTTGTGCTCAGCATCAGAGCTGATGTGTGAAGAACATTTTGGTTCTTTAATTCATACTTTTTCCAAAAGTGTGTCTCAAGAGTTTTCTAGCACTGTGCTGGATGGGCCGGCAGCAATCAAAAGTAGGCTGGTTGGAAAAGTCAAAGTTGATAGGTTTTTAAGAAGTAAGTTTTTAATGTTGAATGTTGAATCTGCACCTTTCTTATGCAGACAGGCTGAGAGAGTTGGGGTTGTTCAGCCTGGAGAAGAGAAGGCTGCGGGGAGACCTTGCAGCAGCCTTCCAGTACCTGAAGGGGGCCTACAGGAAGGATGGGGAGGGACTTTTTACAAGGGCATGTAGTGATAGGACAAGGGGTGATGGGTTTAAACTGAAAGAGGGTAGATTTAGGTTAGCTATAAGGAAGAAATGCTTCACTGTGAGGGTGGCGAGGCACTGGAACAGGTTGCCCAGAGGATCTGTGGATGCCCCATCCATGGAAGTGTTCAGGGCCAGGTTGGATGGGGCTTTGAGCAACCTGGTCTAGTGGAAGGTGTCCCTGCCCATGGAGGGGGGTTGGAACCGGATCTTTAAGGTCTCTTCCAACCCAAGCCATTCCATCATTCTCTGATTCTATGAAATGAAAATTATTTTAACATTGTTATATAAAATTATATTAGAAATTAAGATCGAGAGGAATCCAAATTATCATCTTTGAAATTTTATTGGAAAAAAGTGAGAATGTTTGCTCGGTTTTGGAGCTGCCAAAGAAACAGGTTGCAGTTTTTGCCCTGTTTTGATTTCTACAATCTCAGGTATTGATTTTAATACCTGTGAGACAGACCAAATCTGAAAAATAATTATTGCTAGATAGCCAAGAATCCCCTTCTATCTTTCATAGCAGAGCTCAAATTGTTGTTGCAGATTTCTGTAGAGAAGTGCTCCTTGAGCTGCTTTGTTTTCTTTGGATATCTGCAGCAGTGCTGATCCACTCCAGAAAGCTTTGCCATCTTTCACTGTAAACTAACAGGAGCAAATATGTTTATTGGTGTCAGGGGAAAGGTATATTAGTGCTGCTTCAGGTGGTAGGCAGCGGATGTGAAAGAAAAGGATTCAGGAGCTCTGGTAACATGAATAGTACTTAAGGCAAAGTCGGCACCGCAGTCCAGCAGCATGGATGAAATATTTTATTATTGGTCCTTTCTCTGTTTTGAAGCGGCAGAATTGATCAGAAACTCAGTTCAGAGGGATAACTACCCCATTACAGTTATTGTAAATACATCTAAGTTGAACTACCAAGGCTTTAAATTTGGTAGCCTTAAAGGAGGCTTTTTTTTTTGTGGTGGATCTGGAATGATTGCTGTCAGAATAAGAATGAAGGTTCAAGTTACCAGCTAAGTTCCAGAGATGCAGTATGTGGAAAGTTAACTTCTTTTTTCCTACGTGAAATAATATCCCTCCTCCTTTTCTCAGGTAATCTGCTATTTTCTCTGTCTGTGAAAATAGCTCAATGTTTTAGCTGTAATGGTCAGGCACGCTGCAAATAGCCTGGATAAACATATTGTTTGGAATAGGGTCAGAAATCCCTATAATGATGCCAAACCATTCTGCTGGGGCGCTTGGTGGCTGTACCAGTGCCCCTGCACCGCAAAGAGACCGTGCCTACCGCGTGTGCCCAGCTGCTTCCCAGAGTGTATTTATTATACATGTAAGCAGGTGAATTCCTGATCTGTTCGGAGGCTGTTGGGAAAGAGAATAGCCAGGGACGGACGGATGAGTTGTCTAGCTGGCTTGGGCTCACGGGTCCCCGAGGGGTAGATGCCCTCACATCTGCATTATAAAAGCAGTACCAAAGTGGATTTCTGGTCTTGTAGATACTTGGATAGAAGAGAAACAACTTTCTGTGTCCACATCAGCAATTCTTGCCTTAAATGTAACGTTGTGCAGGGTGACTTAAATCTGGCTATGAAAATGAAACTAAGCAAGCAGGCACATTCAGCCCAGCATTTTTCTTCAACAGAAGGTAGAATCTCACTGTCTGTGAATTAAGCTGTTTCCTGGATGTGATACAACTTGTAAGTGATCACCTTTTGACCCAGCTTTGCTGTTCTGATGCTGGGTTGCAGTTGTCAGAGTAACCACCGTGCTCTTAATGGGTCATTTTCTTGCTGCTCTCGTGTATTTAGCTTTATCAGCTGGGGACCTGGCTTTAAGGACCTTCAAACTGCATTTCTCAAGGGGTGCTTTTAATGCCTTAGATATCATGTCATACAACTTGTCTCCCTGGATAACTTGGCTGCCTGTTAAAATGCGACTGACTGAAGTCTCTAAAGCTGCCACCAGAAGTTTTAATCTTTCAGGCAT